TTTAGGCTAATTATCAGCAGTATTTTCAACAGCAATTCAGGTCAAAACAACCCAACAAAAACAGCCGTAAATTAGGCTGCAACAGCATTAGTAAATTATGATTGAACCAAAGAAGAATTGTATAGATCCTGGCCACCACTCTGAGATTCTCTGCTTTTTAAAAATGCATCATTTTCTTGCAGATTCCTGGAAGACAAGCTCATTCTGAAGCAAGCTTGTTGAGCACAGAGGCAGGGACCCCCTTTGGCGTTAAAAACTGCGGAGCCTGATACCCTGGGCCTAAAGAGGACTGTGCTTAAGCCTAATCAAAGGAGGAGCAAAGCCTGCAGGCCCCAGACACACTCAGGGAGCGGTAAATAAGAAACCGGTTCCCTCGCAGCAACCTGCTGACTTTAAGAATTACTCACGCCTGGCCGGGCTGCGTTCTCCACAGTCAGCAGAAGTACAGTGAATTATTTCCCATCTCATTTCATTTATCTATCTGTTATGTCCCACATAGCATGGATCGCAGATCCGGGGTGTAGAGTAACCCAGACCCAACACATGTTACCTTTGGTGCACCAGAAAGAACGCGGTGATGCACAATGATGAAAGAAAAATCACCCACATTTAATGCAAACCAATAAGACTTCATTCATAAAAGCCCAAATTATATCCATCTTATTTTTTTTTTTTAGGCAAGGCAAACGAGATTGATTACTCACCGAGAGATGCGATTTGATATCTACAGATCAGCTATATTTTCAGACTGTATACCTTTATGTCATTAGCAGAATTAGCATAATCTCAACGTGCATCATGCATGCTAACACACAAGGGACATGATTCTATGCTCCACCCTCGATCCTTATGCCTCTCTCTTGCTTACTGCGTCGGTGACTCAAAGGGTTTCCAGGTCATAGCCAAGATTTCACCAATCACGTTAACCTATTTCAGTTATTATCCTTTATAGGGCGGCACAGTGGCCTCACACCTTGCCGGTTCAAATCCTCCCTTGGCTCTGTGTGTACATTTGTATGTTTACCTGGTATTTTGTGGGTTTACCACTGCAGTCTAAAGATATGCAGTTAGGCTAATTGGTTCCTCTATAATGCCCATAGTGCATGGGTGTGTGTGTGTGTGTGTCATGTACATATTACATTGTGGGGACCAAATGTGATTAAAAACCTCTTATTTTGACGTTGTGGGGACTGTTTTTTCAGGCCCCACAAGTGGAAGCTTAGTTTTATAAAAATCTATGACTGCAATCAAAAAACTAAAAATGCCAAAAGTCTTGTATTTTGTTTGGTTACATATGGTTAAGGTCAAGTCTGGGTAGGAGTTACAGTCATCATGTTGGGATTAGGGTTGAACCCATTGAAATTAACTGATGTTCCCCACAAAGATATGAATACAAACATCAAAGCCAAAGTCAAGTCAAAAAGTCTTTATTGTCATTTGTGCAATTTACAGGACACACAGAAGATTGATATTTTGTTACTCTCAGACCCCACATCGAGTGTACTAACAATAATAAGCAAGACAGACACAAGTTCCAAAAATTAATTAAAATTAAATGTGTGTATGTGTGTGTGTGTGGATTAGGTTCATATTACATTGTGGGGACCAAATGTCCCCCATAATGTAATAAAAACCTGTTTTTTTATGTTGTGGGGACCATTTTTCAGGTCCCCACGAAGATCTGTGAATGCAATAAAAAAAAAAAGAAAAACTGCCAAAAGTCTCTTATTTTGTTTGGTTACTTATGGGTAAGCTTAGGGCTGGGTAGGGGTTAAGGTTGTCGTGTTGTGATTAGAGTTCTCCCCATGGAAATGAATGGAGAGTCCCCACAAAGATTTAATTACAAACACGCCATTCACAAATACACAGCAGAGAACATACAATTTGGCAGACATTGATTTAGTTCCAATCCATTCAGCACCAGATTATCAGAAGCTCCAACAACTTATTTGTAATACACTGTTTTACGAACATCTTTTTCATGTTTTTAACACAGCTTATCAACTTTTCCCTAAAACACAGACCAGCTCCCTTTCTGCTGCAAGACATTTAAAAACTTGACAAAATTCTAATATCATGGCGGCAACTTTCCTTGCTCCAGGACAAAATCCACATGGTGAATTACCCTGAGAATTGTGGGATACAGTCAAGGCAACCAGGTGCTGCAGTCCTGCTATCGACGTCCTTGAAAATCGTACAGTTTACTTTGGCAGGTGACTAAGCGAGTATCAGCCTGATCTGTAACAGAAACTCTAGTCCTCTGTGTGAAATAAAATAAAAAATAAAAAACAACAACAGTAAAGAGGATAGCGAAGAGTCATCCAGTCTCATTTAAAAATGTCAGGATTTTGATAATAATTCTATTGTTGCAGTGATTTAGTTTCTGCTCACTGGGCTGTTTTTTCCATCTTACTGCTGAGGTTTTGTCAACCTTCAATCAGATATTCAGAATGATTGTTTTTCTAAATCGCCAATATTACTTTTTTTTCCAAGCACACACTGATTTCCTTCCATTACATTTGCAACAAACCATTTAATGCTTCATCACTCGCCAAAACATTTTATATTTGGCCCACATAGAGTAAAATCTATAGGGTGATTCTATGTAGCATCTGCCATCTTTAATAATGCCCAGAGACAATTTCCCATGGATTATGTGCATCTGCACTGCATCCTGCATTTTAAAAGGAATAGCTCTCATGCATTTTTCATGATAATCAGAAAGGGATCATGCACTGTGCCTTTTTTTGTATAGCTGACAAGTATCCGTACCCTGCATTGTTCTTATTAATTGCATAGTATCACTGGGTGCTGGAATTTGCTCAGCATATTTGGTTACCAGTCTATTTTCAGTAGAAATTATCCCAGTGCCAACAAAGACTAACTCGTGCCACTGTTTGCTCACCCACCCCCTACTCTGGAAGCCCGGTTGAGTCATCACCGCAGCGCTCGGGCAAGGTGACTCTGCCGTTCTGCAAGACTTCCTGATCGCTTCTGCAGGTGGAGGTGACACCTGAGCCGTCGGCCCACCTCACTGCAGCTGCTGGGGGTTTTGACAGCTCACCAGCTGAAGGGAAATGCAGGTGGCAGTCAGGGACGTGCCGACCAGCCTCCCGTTCTCCACGTGCTGGTTTCCAGCTTACATTTTGTACCATGTGGCTGTAGGATGTCACCTCATGCTCTAGATAATCTTATGGTCGTCCCAACTACCAGCTTCTGCTGGCAGAATGTTCTCCAAAGGGCCCCGATTCTATATATACCACTCCGATTTGGTTCCTCTTCACTTATCATAGAATCACTTTGTTCAAATATAACACATTTCTCATCTTCTATTGATGCTTTTGAGTCTTTTCAAGTCAATAGAGCCTCTGAAGATTAAATCTAGAAAGATATACACTGAGACACCAAACAAATAGGTGTCACCATCAAGAAAAAGAGGCGTGATATATATATGAAGTATCATCTGCACCAGAAAAAAAATACTAAATGTGATTTTATGAATTAGCGTCTTCCTGTGGACGTCACCCCCTCCCCCCCCCAAAAAAAACACACACACACACACACACTTATTAAACAGTCTAAAAATAGTTCCTTTTATGAAATTTGATTAGACTTTCATGCGAATGACTATTAATCTATACTCATATCAAATGCTTGTTCTCGCCGCATCTCCCCAATTCACTAAACATTTAATCTTCTTCAATGACACGAAGGCAGGAAAAATTGCTCAAGGTTGTCTGCTAGCCGTTTTTTAAGCCTCTGGGCGATCAACTAATTGCCTTTTATCCGTCGTTACTTTAACGCACATCTTTCAGCAGCGCAGCATTTGAACGGCCCGAAAGCGACGTGCAGCGGGCTGGCCGACCAGATGCTTTCGCTGTCGAAGAAAAGGGCTTCTTTTTTCGTTCCTTTGGCGTGTTCAACACATTAAGTTGCAACTATGTCAATTCGAAATGGATTTAACTATTGCACAAATGTTCCTTTAAATATTCGTATATGGCACTGTTCTGTAGGCTATGTTATGATGTGACAGTGGTTACAGAAAAACCCTTGTCTTCATGCCGCAAAGCTGTGATATGAAAAACATGATTTTCTGTTGTGTTACCAGCAAAGAATACATTAATCTCTTACAGTAGGCTAACTCTTACTGTATATGCGAACTGAAGGTTCCCTCTTTTTCATGAAGGGCCACCAACTAAATTATAAGCAGGTTCCCTTATAATTGCAAGTATTTAGTCATCAGAAAAATATAGTGAACCCGGTAAGAGAAATGCACCCTGTCTGGAACTCAATAGTAGACCCTTAAATTGGTCTTCGTACTTAGTACTCTAGGTTCCAAAAATGATATAAGCCGCTTTATTTTCTTATGAACGCTGAATATGAAGTCGGTCACGGGCTGCCGTTCAGCCCTCTCTCATGTTTCCGTGCCAGACTTTTCAGGAATGTCAGTCGTCTACACTGAAGTCCCTGGAGTTCCCCGCTGGCACACATCCGTCTGTCAACATGACTTCATCACCGGCGAAGCCCAGGCGTTGACCTACATGGAGCGACTGTCACCGCAGCAGAATTCCAAGGATCCGCGCGGCCGTGCGGCAGCTTGCGCGCGCCGAACGCGGCTCCGCGTGGCCGTGCGGGAGCCTGCGCGCGCCGAACGCGGCTCCGCGCTCCCGCTAGCCAAACAGACTGGGGATTTCGGAGTTCACTGGTGCGATGGTGATGCTGTGAAAAATATATCGACTCAACTGGCAAGGGACAGGAACACATTTTCACATTTACAACTTTGCACAATATGCATGGCACAATTTAAAAAATATATATAATTAACAGAAGACTGGGGAATGCTGATTGCAAATCCCTCTAAAAGTAGGCCTACTATTTATAGAAAACAATTTTCACTTATTTTATTATAAATGTTACATTTTGCCATTACGCTAGCACACTTTTTTCTAGCTGTCCCAACAGTATAATGAGTAGGCTAGTAATAAAAACAAGGATCACAGTGTGTTTGAAGTGGAATGTATATTCAAGTATATGAAAATAGTCTTCAAATCAGATTTAACAGAGACACAGGAATTCATGAATGAAATAACATCTGAGGAGACATGATACAAGGCAACTACTATACAATGAGCACGTTTAATTATGGCCTTGGGTTTACTGACCCAGATTATAAAAATACATCTGTGCAAGTCGGTCAGAGTTAAATTATGCCGCCTCGATTCCCAGGTTTTCTAATTTGTCGAGGAACAAAAACAAGGCTAGTTTACGGTCAACTGCGCTTTCAAAATGAAATCTTTGGTTGGTACTATTAACTATTTGGGGGTTAAAAGACTGGCCTTGATAGTAGTTAGAGAAGAAACCCGCTTATAACATCAAAACGGGCGTCAGTTGAAACTTTCTTAGCGCGGTGTGTGCTGCATACTTCAATTATTTTGAATATATTTCATTGTGCCGTTAGCATACCATTAATATATTCTTTTTATGTGCATAATTCACAATTTCTGTTTAATTACTCAGCAACAACATTCTTACATTAACGAATGTAAAGCCTAAGACAACATATGCAACTAATAAATAAAATACCACAATCTGATGAACTAGATAAACTGTATATGATGCATTCTGTTAAAGACTTTGGAGAAGAGACGGGAAATACTGGAGATGCACGTTGCTGGGAGCGAGAAGCGGTCAGTGAGACTCAAGGCGCCCTTTGTTAGTCAAATATCGGGAGGCAACATCGATTCTTTGCTGAACATCCCATTAACCTGCGGATACAATAAATTAAACTAATTCAGGTGTCATGGTAGTTTGACGTACAGGGACAGAATGCGTTCATAGGCGATACTAAAATAGCACGGACTTCAAGGGGAACACAGAAATAAACGGTGCTTCATATTTTAGGAATGTCATACTCCCGGGTCCTAGCTCATAGTATAGGAGAAAAATTGGCTCAGGGTGGTTTGAAATTAATCAATAATTTGTCCGATTTCACGAATGAACTCAGAAAAGTTAACCTCTCCAATCATTCAGAGTCGTAATATACAAAGTTCGTAAAAATTATTTTTCGTTAGTTTAGACCCCACAAGTCTAACAAATCAAGGATTCGTTACTCGTGAATTTCATTTTTCTAGTTTATCATGCCAGCGAATTAAATATCCTGCCGTGTTAGCATAGGCCTGTTCGGCGTTGCCAAAAATCGGAATTATTTTCTTGACCAACCGATGTGGTTATAATATCAAATTGGCCCAAGTAACGCAACACGGAGCGTAATCCTATACACGGGTTTCGTGCTTTAACTTCATTGTAGCGAGACACAAGTTTGCAATAAAACCATAATTTCAGAAACAATGGCAGCAACGTGGCGGCGCAAAGTGTGATTCAAAGTAAAGATCCTAAAGCAACATCCAGAGGAGACGGACAGTCCTGCAGAGCAAATCCCCCACGAACAGCAGTTTGCAGGGCTGACAGTTCTGGGAAAGCCTCCTTCGGGACCGGCTTACCGCAGCTATTCCCGCATCCAGGGTAAAGTCACTCCACGCTTTGCGAGTTCCTGATCATTTTTTGCTGCACCAGCAACTGCTGTTTCTGCCTCGTAGACTTGACGGCAAGGATCGCCTGCTTGTTCTTGTACTGGACCATCTGCAGGGTTATCTCGGCGTTCCAGCCCTCGTCCTGCGGACACCTGAAATCGATCTCCTTGCCCTCGATCATGACCACCGTGAAGTAGACGTATTTGTCCTTCCTCTCGACGCAGTCCACAGTCTTCATGTTGGAGAAGGGGAGCTCCTTGACTTTGCGCGGCTCGGTGACCTGCTGGTGCTGCTGGGGACGCGGGTCGTCATGCTGCTTAGGGTGGTGGAGCCGGAGACCATCCTCTGTGAGGACGCAGCGTTTCTTCTTCCACAGCTGAAGTAAGCCGTCGCTCCGCTTCTCCAGCAAGCCCTCCTTCAGCACCTTGCCGCCACCCTCCAGCATGGCGTAAAGACGCACGACTTTGAAAGTCACCGTGTGTTTTTCAGAGCAATGCAGACACCGGCCCCGCTAACGCTGCCGCTTAAAACTATCGGCGACTCCCGGCTCTTCGGCAGGAACCTTGTCGACGCCGGCTGGCGGGATTGAATGATGGCTTGGTCCGGTCTGGCTGGGGTTTCCCCCAGGCTTTTCTAGCGGACCGCCCCCCCATCGCTGCGCGGCGGAGTCACGGGGGATGACAGCGAGGGCTTCTGACGTGAGGACAGCGAATAAAGAAAGTGCTAAAATACCATAACGGCTTTAAGAAAATTCACTTTTAGCGGATAAAACTCTCTCGTATTAAATTTTTAAACCTTTTGAGTGTGGGAGAATCTTAACTTGCGCTTTACAAGATAAAGGCATTTTATACTTTAGGATCGGTTAAGGGGGCCCTCTACTGGCCAGTCTTTGCGTGATCATTAGCCAAAAACGTGATACCCGAATAGCCTTTGACAGACGTCACAGACCCATATAAAAAAAAAAAACCAAAGACACTAGACAGGTGCAGGCTTAATCAATTTATTCAGGAATACATAATACACGTAGTTAAGAGTACATTTGAATTTTATAGCATAGCGTTTTGCTTTTACAACAGCTGTTCAGAAGGATCCAAGTAGGACCCATAACACCAAATGACAGTCTGCCACGAGGTTACGCAGCATTGGGGAAATCCTCCAGAACAGCAGTTTAAATCACCATGACCAATGGCTCTGCACATGGGTGGAGCAGGTCACAGATTTTAAACCAGGGCATGGTGGTTTACCCCAAAGTCAGGTAACTACAAAATCCCACAAGACCAGATTTCCTTCAGCCTGCCTTTGAGATCCAATCAAGTTGGAAGGGGGTGGGGGCTTCTACCTACCCACGAGAAGAGACACTGAAACAGGAAATGAGCACAACAGCCGCAACCAGATCTACCCAACTCTGCCAAATGTAAAAAAAAATGCCTAAACACAGCCAACACTGTTACTGGGTAACATTTGGTTTGGTATTTAAACACTCTTAGCCTGATACATATAAGTGCCCTGTACACCACTTCCTTTGGGCAAGTCGTGGGGGGGGGGGACCTGATCTACCAGGCTTTAAGCACTTGAGTTATGCTGTAGACAAGAAGTTCTACGTGGCAGGACGTCAGCTGACAGTTAAAGGAGGCTTCACATCTCCTCTGTTAGAAGTGCTGGATGGGACTACAGACTTCACAGAGGACACAAATGACACACATTGTACCAAGTGCTACAGAGAAGTGTGCCTAGGTAACTATGGCAGACACTAAGACAAAACTCACATAATACCATGACACACAACCTTCAGATAAAATGGAATGCGGCTTGATCATGTTTGTTGACCGTCTCCATCTCTTTCCATTTGAAATTCCAAACAAGATCCCTGTTTTTTCTTTTAAAGAAAGCAAAAAGGGATCAGAAGTAATCCAGGCTGTTTTTTTTTGCCATCTGCTTACTGAAATGTATGAATGGGAGGATAGAATGGCAGATCACCGACACCACGGATGCCCTAGAATACTTTACTAGTTCCGTGTTACATGGTGGGGTGGAGCCGAAGGGGGCTCACTGAGAAGCTGCCATCTCACTACAAGGTACAGGGTGAAAATTTCGGGTGTCGCAAAGCTACACATATCAATCCGACAAGGGCAGGAACACGTGCAGAGACACAACTCAAGACCTTCCAGAGTGTATATTGCTTTGGTTGGTTATTTGGGGCAAGGAACAGGTCACAACACATCACCCCCGCCCCTTACCACTTCGTACTTCCCTACAGCTGCTGTCCAAGAGATACAACGAGACTTCACAAGAATCCAAATATTTAGCAATGGACACATTCATGCCTTTTAAAGAGGGATTTACGCCATTCTATTTGTACAGACAGTCTAGTAAAATACTATGCAGAATGAGCCACTGCTTGGAACTCGCCCCCTATGAGTTTTGTAACAAAAAAATTGAATTCCTTTAATCTCTACCAAGAATACAAAACATTATAAGGCGATATTTAACTTGTGTGAGAAGCCATTACAGTGCAGACGATCCTTATAGCCATGGCGTTCACTGCTGTTTACATTCGGCTGGTGGGTTGGGGTCCTTCTGTTGGGGGAGGGAGAGAACATTGTTAATGCAAGGGAGGGGCCGTGGGAACAAAGACCTTCACGCTCTGCTCTCAACACGAGATGCACCACTGATGACCTGAAGGCAAGACAAACCACCCTCAAATGGCTGGGAATAAAGAAATTAGTGTTCAACTAATAATGGAAGCGAGGCAACTACTGAGACCGCAGGTTATTCCAGGTGGTATTCGGATGGACAATCAGCTGTGAAGCTCAGCCAGCAGCGAAAACACTCAGCCTGGCAGTGGTTTCATTCAGTAAGAGACATGTAGCTTCCATTCTAAGGCACACAGATTCAATCTGAAAGTAAGACTCTGATATGCAGAGACAGACCCCAGGTACCCCTTAGGACATCTAGGAAAAATGTAAAGCAAATGGAAAGCGATGGAAGCACCAAGAAGTGAAGGTTCAGAAAATTGTAGGATTTCAAAAGCTCTTACAGACAACTTAACCACAGTTTCTGAAACCGGATATCTAAATTTGAAAAACGAAACAAAGTCTCAGGCAAAAAAAAAAAAAAAAAACTGAAAACCGATTAAACTGACACTAAAACCTCAGCTCAAGGATTATACCCATGCTAATCTGTGAACTGGACAAAGAACCGTCAACACAAAGCATTCAGACTTCAACATACAGAAGAAAAACACTTATGCAACCAGAAGTACTACAGAAACTCTTTCCATCTCGCTGTCGCGGCAGAAGGGGTGAGAGACACGGGCGGGAATGAGCATTCAGAAAGTCACAGTGTGCTGTACCTACCACGTCAAAAGACTAGACAAGCAAACATTAACTTAAAGCAGAAATCACATGGCCTCATGACACTTTTGTGATGCGACAATCCAAGGAGAGCATCATCTGCCAAATGTAATGAAAAGCTTTGTATTCCTTTAAAGGAATCCATATGAAAAACTGAAATTTCCAGTCATACCTCGTTCAAAAAAACACTCATTAAAGCAGATAGAAGCTGGCAAGCAGAAGAGCCAGGTGCAGGCATCAGGCAGAAAAAGCTCATCTTATCCAAACTGCAGACTCAGTTTTCACCCGTCAGTACAAGTCTGGGTTCCAAGCTGTCACATCTCATGCAGTTTACCAGCTGACTGTCTTGGTCCAGTTAGGATTTAGGGTGTTTTCAGCTGACATTTGGCTGCATTTCACACAAAAATTTTTGTCTCAAGCTCCACTTTCTGCTCTTCCTTGTGGGGTTTCCAATACTTCCCAGGCTGATGAGGGGAAAAAGTGATTCGCTAGCAGAACTGAGTTCAGCACTTTTCACTACTTCTGCTGAGAATCTGTAGAGACTAACATGGAAACGCGATTGGATGCGAACACTTGCCCCCCCCCCCCCCCCACCAAACATTAGCTAATGGAGGAAGTCCGGCTTTAAAAGCAGTGTCATGAGGCTGCATGGAAACAAAAACGGATTTAAACAATATTCAAACAAAGCTAGTTCCCTACTCAGTACAGCTGGCTTTTCATGCCCAGAATTTATCCCAGAAAGGCTTAGGATTATCATAACCCACTGTCTAGATCCGATCAGTTCGAGACCAAGCAGGATGCCTCTGGAGAGAAGTGCGTGGGTGCAAGCAGTTTTGGTACCAGCGTGTTCTTGTGCAGTGCCACATTCAAACACTGATGGGAGTTTCTTACGCATGTTCTGAGGGCAGAAAGAAAAATTATTGGTTTTGAGAGATGACCAATCAAATTGCAGAGGATGTGGGTCCAAGCAACTAGAGGAGGCAGGACTAAGACATCTGATTTGCTGGTCCTGCCTCCAGTTGGACCGACAGATTCTACAACCCAATTGGTCATCTCTGAACCAATCATTTTTCCTTCAACCCTCAACTTTTTGTACAAGTAAAAACACCCATGAGCCATTCATACAGCACTACGGCCATCACCGGTTCCCCCGGCTTCTACCACGTACACCAACACCTCAGTTATCACCAAGCCAAAGGTACTGATAGCACATATTCTTATGCTGAAATATGTCCTTTCGTGACATCATGACTAAGGGTGTTCCTCTGCCGATCAGATCAATCACCCACCTTGGGATCATAGTCTGGGTCGTTCTCCTCGTCTGCTTCCTCCGCACCCTCCTGAATCAAAATAAAAATGTTGAGAACCTGCTCCTTGAACTTCCACCAATTATAAATTAGGATGGCCATTCTTCTTCCATTAGGTTCCAAGCCAATAGCTCACAGTGGTAATTAAACTGAAGACAGACTTCCATAGAGAAACCACATGGCAGTGGTCACCAACCCTGCTCCTGGAGATCTAACACCCTGCAGATCCTAGGCGCCGCCCTAATTTAACACACCGGAAACAGGTAAGTATTACAGCCAGCTTTCTTGACGTCAAGTTGGCTCCAAAACTGAGAAGCTACTGAAGGACCTGATTGTCTATCAGGTGTGTTAAATTAAGGCTGTTCCTAAGCTCTGTAGGATGGTAGGTCTCCAGGAGCAGGTCTGGTGACCACTGACAGGCAAAACAAACTCAACACTAATCACCATGCTCATTAAAACTGCCCAAAGAGTGTTACTTCCTAAAATAGACCAGCCAGACAGTACAGGGGTTCTGGGAAGTTTCCAGCAAAGAAGTTCCTACCTCCTCATCAGCCTCCTCGCCTTCTTCATCATACTGAAAGGCAGCAAAAGGAAAGAGCTTTAGACATTTAGCACGACCGTCACTCTGCCTAGCTCAGAGTGCATGGACCCGACTCACATCGTCGTCGTCGTCGTCCTCAATGGCTTCGCCCGTGAAGTACAGGATGGCTCTCGGAATGATGCGCTCACGGAGGAAGTGTCCGATCTCGAAGTCGGCAGCGAGGATGGCCTCCGAGTCCTCATCCTGTGAAAATGGAGGGAAGAACGTCAACCACCGCCAGCCCTTCATAAACCAATCACACTTCACCAGCAAGGAAAGGGTCGCAAATGATTCCTCCGCCTCACTTACCAACTCCCCCTTCTCTGGAACTGTAAAGAGGGGAAAAAAATAAGGGTTAAGATCTGCATTGAAAGGGAAACTGCGCACACTCCGGGGTCTACCTTCTGGTGGGGAAAAGAAGTTGAAAAAGGAATCGTTCGGGACAGTCTTGGTGACCGTCCTCACTGTCCCACGACCCTTATGTTTCTGCTTCTTCTTGATGGTCTTCAACGTGACGTTCTTTCC